TTTTTGAGCTTCCCGCTTCAAAAACGATACTACGGCACAGGTGAACATTTTGTAAGAGGAGTCGTTCCATCGTCGGCAATACTCATCATGGCCGACGCCAATCCGCCAAAACACGTGTGATGGGACGAGATAATACCTGAACTGGATTAGACCAGATAACAATCGGCGTGTTTTAACGTTCATGTTTTCCACGCCCGAATTGATTGACCTTGAACTCTCCTCGAATTACGCGCGGAACTGCGCGCAAGTGTCGGCCATGATGAATATCGCCGACGATGGAGCGACTCCTCTAACAAAATGTTCACCTGTGCCGTAGTATCGTTTTTGAAGCGGGAAGCTTAAAAAAACGCAAATTTCTTACGCAGATTGTGAAGTTATGAGTGCATTTCAGACTTTGCCGATGCGCTCATCGTGATTTTTGAGGCATTATCAACTCTTATTTTTGCTCTAGCAAAAGTTTGCAACAGGCTCATTTGAAATTTTAGCAAACATTTTTATTTCCAACCTCTTCTATTATCTCGGTCCACTGTGCGACGCGACGACCGGACAAATTATCAAAGGAGTCTGAGAGGTGAGAAGAAGAGTCGAATTAATTTGTCCAGTCTCATCCAGCCCGTGTTTGTTTTTATGAGGAAGAGTGTCATAACCGGATACGAACTAACGATTTAAATCAAAAGGGACTATCTTCACTGTGCCCTGAGCTCTGCAACCCATAAGAATGCATGGACGACAGGGCTCATGTCACATTTGAGACGGTTCCTTTTGATTTGGATACGTCTTTTCAACTGCATCGTCAAACACCGCTGTGGCGGGACTTGCGATCGCTCAAAAACACTCGACATTCTAATTTCTCTCTCTTAGTTTTTACGGCTCCCAAAAATTACCAAGAACAAGGTGTGCTCCGAGTTGGACTCGAGGCCGAAAACGTCATTTTGAAAATTCAATGTTGCCAAGTTTGTGGCTTAAATGCTTCGTTTTACTCGTAGGCAGAAAAGGGTTCATGTTGGCATCGAAAACCAAATTTTTTATTGACTTGCACGTTTATTACTCAGAAAATTTGGTTTTTGACCGTATACCATACGAAACCGATCTTCGTCCTCTACAATTTGAGTTTATTTCATCGTGATAGAAATACTCATTTGTATACCGCGAAATTTCTTCTTTTTTTTACGAAAAGGTCCATTAGGCCCGAGTTTTGTTGATTTTTATGTAAAGTTACGGCCATGTGGTTTTGACAAGAAATTATTTAAAAAGCATGCTCAAATTGGGAGAACACGTAAGAGCAACTAGTGGCTAAATGTTGCCCCTTTCTCACTAATAATTTATAAAATAATAATTAATTCAGTTTTGGAATACTAAGTAGATATATTTTGAAAACTAATACAAATTACCGGAGATATATGCGATAAATGTCATTACATTTGTATAGTAGGGACCGTGTAGTGGTCAATTTGACCAATTTTTGTAGGAGAAGTAATTCAACTCACGAGAGAGTAGTTTTTGGAATCCATGCGTTAAATGGGAGGTGAAATTCCTTCATCAAATTTTCAATAGGTATCAACTTTAAGCAGGACGACGCTGTAATCAAACCACTAAACCAGCGGGTCGATTATAGAATGGTTATCAAATGAACTTGATACATAAATAGCATTGCCAAGATACGGATTTATCGATCAAATTCATTCGGTAATGATTCAACAATCGACCCGAGAATGCAGGGCAAATAAACATTAAAGCCTTTTCTACTCTCTTTGAGTTCTGGAATTAGGAATGCATTTTTTGCGTGGTAAACCATGTGTGTGAATCTTAAGACTTAATTTCGGAAACTACAAACCGGTAGATTTGATAGAAAACTTCTAGTATTTTGTAAAACATGGTAAAATCCTCTTTACGAGCAAACAGACTAGCGAAGACCGAAAACAATATCAGCGCCAAGCTGCGGTCGACCCAATCGAGGCTGGCATGCGAGGCTCTTCCCATCGAAGCGCCTGCAATATTCAAAGACGCAACGTTTCACACACAATCTCCGTCGACTTTCCTTCAGCGCAGCGCAGCAACGCAGCTAATGTGCTAGTGCAAATATTTTTGAGTTTGCCAAAAATTTTGAAAAGTCCATAACCCATATTAAAAAAACGCTTTCTCTAGAGAAGTAGCTCTGTGCCTAAATACTGCGAGGAAGCTGAAACTTACATGTACTTTAAAATGCATCCTCAATAGACTGATTGAGTGACTTATTCGATATTCGAAATTTGATGTATCGAGAATTTAAACAGAGAGATTGAGTTAGTAACCATATCATCGAAATGAATCTAGATATTTACATTGGCATAAAGGAAATAAGCACGAATTGACCGAATGAAAGCTGGCATCAATGAAGAATCCGCCATTCTATGATATGTGGCCTGGTAAAATCAGCCCCTAAATAATAATAATTTTTTAGATCCTTCCACGTATCATGCATAAAGTCAAAAACCGAATTTACGCGTCACAGGTGCTTGCATTGACGCGCATCGTGGTATCGCGATAACAACAGTGAAAAACAATCCAAGCATCCTAATGCCTGGGGATGAATTTTGATGCTGCACCAAAAAATCATCTCTTGGCTCGACAAGGGCACGATCGCTGCCGATCTAGGGGAAAACGACTCATGAATACTCGAACGTCGTAAAATTTCTGCGGACAGATTATTTATTTTCGAAAAAAGTTACGAATATCTCCCTTTGAAATTTTCAAACATTTCATAATTAACTCTTCGAATAAAATTTCGTGATGAGATATCAAACAAAAGAGTCCATGAATTCGCGAGATAATGCGGCTTGTATCGGAAAAAATCAGTGGCGTGGTGCGCTTTGCGATACATCGATTGATCTGCCATTTGAACCCATGGTAAAGGATCGATGCATGACCTAGGTGTCCGCAACGAACGCTTTAATAATCGATTCTTTACCATAGTTTCAAATGGGGAGATATCGATAATCGATCATTCACGCCTCGCCACTGGAAAAAATGTAACAAATGCAGCTCATACGGCTTTTCACTTTAGCACGACGGATTGGCATTCCACTTTGACCATAAATCGATCCGGCGCGGCGAGACGGCGCGATTACGAGTATCGAATTCCGATGCCGCTAAATTAAAAACGGCGAATGTAAGACAAAAATGTAACCTGCCTCGCGAAAGAAATTCAACGTAACGAGTTCTACAGAACTGAATTTCGGCCTTGATTAATAAAATAATGCGGCATTCGAAATGCGAGGAAGACGATTGACTTGCATTAGCGGCATCGAAGAGATTCACAGGAAGAATATTGTACTAATATTTCCGGTCGGATTTCAGTCGAGGTAGCATTATCAAATGGACACATTTCTGCCGAACGGACCTACGTGCATGAAGACGTGAGCCCTGTTATGCATATATTCTTATGGGTCTCAGGGCTCATGTCCTAATGCACTTGGTTCCGTTTGGCAGAAATACGTGCAAATACCGATGCAGCTGAAATCCACGCAAAAAAAAGCTCAGCACTTCTCCAATACCGCGCTTTTTGAAATGCACCTTTGGGCACAGTGGCGTGGCGTGAATGATCGACTATCGATATCTCTCCATTTGAAGCTATGGTTAAGAATCGATTATTAAGGTGTTCGTTGCGAACACTCTGTACGTCGAAATTTTTCCATTTAAATGGCAGATGAATCGATGAATCGCACAACATGCCACGCCACTGTTTGGGCAGGGTCGGAAGTAAAATTCCTCAAGACAAGCTTCCTTGTCAAAATCTTACGCAAAACATACTGCTTTGATCAAAAACTTCCGAAATTCATTTAGAAATTAAAAATTAATGTTTGTCGTTTACGTTAGAATCTTTATTTAATTTAATTAAAACGTTCTTCGGAAATTAAAAAATGACCGCACGAAAATTCGAGCGATGACGATGATGGAAAGAAAAATAAGACAGAAAATCTGCAACGTCGCGAACAAATAAACGTGGTTTCATTCAGGGGTGCAAATTATTTCTGAATGCCTGATATAGCGACCAAATTGTGCAATTGAAAAAAGAGGGGCAAAAAATTGAAGAGGATGAAAGAGATTTTTTTTTTTTTTGGACGGTTCTTCGACTTTTAATTCTTGAAAAATAACGTGACTTTGTCACGTATCTCAGATTTATCTTGAAATTCTTTAAAAATTGAACAAAGCTTTGATCAGCTCGTTGTGCTGATCTTTTAGCTAGACCCCAGCGCGTTGCAGGAAATCTCAGGGACCTCCTGCAAAATTGTAAAGGTCTAGGAATAATTTACACCCCTGTTGTAGTTTCAAAACTGTTATATTCTCAGTTAACCACCACTGGCTTTTGGAGTCGATCAACAGCGAAACTGAAGAAGAGAAAGGAGAGAAATCGAGGAAAGTTATCAGCATTGGAGGAATTCTGCAAATTTCTCTGGTCAATGACGGAAATGACGATAGAAGAGAGGAAAAATGAAATTATTGGTTTTCGGCTACTCATAATAGAAAGAAAACAAAGTATAGAGCATTCAGCCGATCCATTGGAAGCGAAACTATGTAAAGTCAGGTCAAAGGGTATCCCAGGATAAGGTCACCAAAATGCCCCTCCTCACGGATTTTGAATTTAATGGTCTAAACCCCTTCAGGAGGTCCTAAAAACATGGTTTTGGGCAATTTTAACCTCCTGACCCCAACCACCCCCCCTCCAGCCCCGAAAAACCCATTTTTCGGGGAATTTTGGGGTATTTTCACGTTTTATTCCATATCTCCCGCGTTTTTCAATGAAAATGCACCAAAATTTCACCAAATGTACATCAGGGCAATCACATTCTTGGGTAAAAAAATCAAATTT